CTCGCTTCCCACAATCCCTCTTCGTCCTGATTGGCTCACGCCTGACGCTCGAATTCTCGCCCCCGATTCGAGCAGCTCCAATTCGATGACAATTGTCCCCCGAGAACAGCTCCTGACGAATTTTACAACAACAATTTCTGCGATGATGGGAACTTACGCAAGTCTCCGCTTCTCTGAGTGATTGAGTCGGACTCTGTTCCACGGCGAGTGTTATTCTTTCAGAGAAGATGATTAACGAGAGCTCAATATTTACCTGGAAACAAAGAAACGTCCCATCGTTATCGCTCCGAACATCAAGAACACCTAATCCCGTCGTCCCCGGACCCGAGTCCGTCTCCGAGGGTCGAGGACCGGTCTCGCGTTTCGACAGAAGCACAATTCCGTCGAGAATGACAGAGCGAGAGAGGAATGAGGGCGACGAGAACCCGTTCTGACGGATGGATAGGGAAAGATCTTTCGACCGTTAAAGGCAGAGCGGTGCTTTGACGCGCGCTCTGTATGAAACATCCAGCCGTTCGGCTGGCGTGGGAGAGTTGAGAGTTGACGTGAACAAGTGGAAGTAGGTGGAGGGAAGAGTGAACGCCTTTCAGAACGAGTAGCTCCGGAATGAGCGGGTGATAGAGTGCGTGGGGCTGTCTTCGTTGGCGAACGGAGGGGATCTCTTTGCGCTCGTCCTAAGAGCTTGAGGAGGTCATCAAGGTCAAAAGAAAATGAGCCTTCGAGGTTAACGAGTTGAATTCAAAGGCTGCTGATGCTCACATAACAGGTCCTTAGACTTCTCCACGGTCGGACTCACTCGAAGTCGCTCCTACCTCCCCTCGGATCACACCGTCATCCCCACACTCGACCTCCAGCCACCTCGGCCTTTCATGCAGTAGACGGGCGGAGCGGGGAGAAAGCCGCTTCTTCAACAGGCCGCCGAGTTGGACGCTTTTTCGACGTGGAATAATTCGTGGGAGCAGATTCCAACTTCGTCCGGTGTTTTTCCGAGCCGGAACAGAGACGGCCAGCGAGAGCGCGGCCCCGGTGATTCGATGGCACTACTCCACTGCTCCTCTGTACTTGACTCGAGAGTGCGAGGTTCTCCCCTGAGTAAATGTGACGGAAATTCCGTGCCGGGATCTGCCTCCCGTCGGCGACGCGAGACGGAACGAACCGAGCGAACGAACGAACGGGACCAAGTGTACGGACCGGGTTCGAGTCGAACAGCACTGCGACGTGTCAAGCGCCTGACGATTGGGCCCAGTCTGTGGAGCTCCGTGTCAAAAGGGGGCCGGGTATATGTGTTCGATGCTGAATGTTGTCTGAAATGGCACGGAATTTCGATCCGGACAAGCTCTGAGAAGAAAACAAGCTACTGTTGCGTTGGGCTGCTCGAAGTCTTCGGCGGTCCACCAGCCGAGACAGAGCGCCAGCTGGCGTGGGACACTGCCCGGGTCACGGTATTGCTCCGGAGGTAGGTAAGCGACAAGACGATGTCTCAGAAGAATACAAGAAATGCAGATGACTTCTGTGTCCCGTCTGACCTCACTTCCTCAGAGTCCCCCTGTCCAGGGCTAGCTCGAATGAATCGGAAGAAAATGAACACGAGCTGCTACGTTCTTGAGTCTCAACCGCCCCATCGAGATGCTGGCTTTTCAATTATTCAACCACGGAAGACTGTCGCTCAGGACTTAATCATTCGGCGACCTTGTCGTGGTTTTCACCACTCCGACTATAAATAGAACCTCGACGTCAGGTACCTACTCGGCCGTCGCGCCACGGCGACGTATCGTGAGGATACGTGAACCGTGAGAGATTCGAATGCCACACGATACGATCGCTCCACGTCTGTGCTCGAAGAGGTGATTCTGAGTCGAATTTCGATTGAATATGCCCTTGCATCGCTAGAGAGGCAGAAAACCTCTAGATGCCGGTAATACCGTAATCCGTTGGGACCGCGACAAGACTGTTCGAAGCGACGCGGCAATCTGAGCTGAATGCAATCAGGGAGAAAAAGAAAATCTTCGAGCCTGACTGGAACCGTCGAGAAGTCATTCGCGGGGGCTATCGGAGCGCGCAAAGTGCAAGCAAGTCAGTTCCTTCCTTGTTTGACGGTAAGGAAATCTCTCGATCGTGCGTTCGGCCGACTCGCTGCTGGGCTCTTTTTCGATTCGCAAGCACAACAATGCGAGCCCATTCCTCCCTTTTAGGGATTAGCGTCGCAACCTCCGCGATTCAGGGTTTTGGCAAACCGGAAAGAACGTGACGATATCTCTTAATTTTGCCATCATTGTGATGTTTCTGATTCTACAATGAGAGAGACAGCAAACATTCCCGCAAGGCCGTGCTGCCACCCTTCCTCTGCATGTTGTTGATGGGACGAGTGGAAACATGCCATCCTCAAGGCTCTCTGTGGTGACACACGTTTTTTTATGAAAAACGGATGTCGGTGGAGAGTCGGTAGGAGGTGCAGAAGACACAGAATGCCAAGGCGCCCTGTGTCTTCTGCACTCTGTCCGCTCGCCGTCTCGCCTCAGATTGCTCTCACTGCTCGTCTTGCCACTTTCGCATTCTCTCCTTCCCCGTCCCGAGTCTCGACGCTTCTCTCGACGGCTCCCCTCTCGATGCCTGAGCGAAAACGATCCATGCAGTGATTTTCTTGGCGTTTCTCTCGCTGAGCTGGCATATTTCTCCCAATAATTGCGGACGATGAGACAGACGTTCGAGCGTGACTTCGCATCAGAGTCGACAGCGCCGACTGGCTGCTTGACAGTTGGGAGGATCGGGAACTTCGAGTCATGGGATCTCTGTTCAAAGTGCCTAAGAGATCTGTTTTCTCAATGATTCCAACAAGTCAGAACATCTTCAAATCGGGCCATGATCGACAACCCTCTCGCACCGGGTGCGAGAAACCCCTGAAGCGAACATGTAACCACTCGGAATCGATAAAATCGTGTCTGAAGACTGTCGCTATGCTGCCTTCCTCGACGCTTCCATCATCCTCACAGGGTGCACGGAGGACTGAGGCTGCAATCATTGAATACGATCATCAAGAACAACTCCCAACAGGATTTTTTGACTTGAGCGCGTGACGCTGGGGCAACAGAGTCTCACCAGTTTTGCGGAGGAGGGCATCGACCGAATCTTACAGGGGATCGCGAACGGGAAATGGCGACGAGAAGGACCCGGGGATGACCGAAGGAAGCTCCGGAGTCCGCCCGACCAAGACACGAGGTCGAGGTTTCCTCCCCGTCAGTCGTCTTCAAAAAGGAAAATCCTCGCAAAAAATAACCCTTGCCTCCTCGCATGTGCTCCGGTGGCGTGGCGGTGGCATGGGAGCGGTGTAGCGGAGACGGCGTGACTCCAATTCAAATAAAAAGAAAAAGGAGACCCTCTCGCGAGGAAAACCCTCTCTACGGCTTCCTCCAGCTCGCTTCCGTTGCTTCTCAAACTTTGAATTCGAGGCCTTAACCATGGCAATCCATTGTGAATATTTGAAGGCACCACCCCTCCCCGGTCCGACTCAGAGCTGGTCCCGTTCGTTCCCGTATTTCATTCCTTAGATACCCTCGCCTTAGATGCCCTCGAGAAAACATGTCTTTGAGGCCTCTGAAGTTCACCTTTGAATCGTGGAGAGAGCTTAATCGAGAAACTCTTCGGAGCAGATGGAGTCCCGCGAGCGGAGAACGTTTGAATTCCGCAGCAGAAATAAGAGAGAGACATCGAGAAGAGGAACGGAAAGCCGACTAAAAGCAAGCGGGACGAAATCCATTATGGAGTGAAGGGCTAGTCCAAGGGCTGAACGGAGAGCGCAACGAACGAGCCAGCTATGAGACCATCATCGACTCCGTCGGAACTGCTATCGGCAACTTTTCTCTATTTTTTCCCATCATTCTCGCCTTCGTTTGCCCTCTTTATTCTCCTCCGTCGTCGTTTCCCGGTCGCCCCATTTCCTCAATCTATGTCCTCACAGTCGCACCGACGGCCATGGAAGCGACAAAACAAGGGATTCGATTTTTCCAGCCCACTTCTTCGATAGGAACGACATTAGAAAGCAAGATAGCTCAAAAGAACGCAGCGAGTCCCCCTGCTCACCACTGATGGGATCCATCTCCGAAGGTTTGTGGAGGACCTTCGAAGAGGGTCGATATCTAGCTCAGGTTTGGATTCTGAGTGAAAACCTAGTTCTCGCCCGCACTATTCGTACGACAGCATCCGCCAGCTCGGCCTGGATGATTCATGTTCCCCGAACGAATTTTCCCACGAAAGGCTCGTCCCGGTCGCTTCCATGTACAACACCTGAGGTACTCTGTGCCGCGATCGACAATTCCTTGGTAAGACATCGGGCACGGCCTTCCAAGCTCGCCCCGCCGCCGCCGGTCCGATGAAAAATGAACGTCACGCGAAATTGTGAGCTTGGAAGAGTCGGGACGAGTGCAAGTGGGCGGCTTGACTTTGCGGTGTTTTACGCTTTGTCGGTCGACTGTATCGAGTGTCGGGGGTAAGCTCGCCAAAAATTCATATCGACACCGTCTCGATTTTTTCTGCGCTCCCACGATGCCGTCTCCCCGCTGAAGGAGCTTTTCCCATCGTATCGGCCTTCGAGTTTCGGGGGAACAGCATCCAAGCGCCAAAACGAGCTCAACAGGGCGGACAAACCGAGCGAGGGGCGGAATGCGTCACCCATATAATATAAATTTATCGGGGCCGAATTTAAAATTTACGCGCCATAACTCACCGATCCCGCCGTCGGAAAGAGGAAGACGACGACGGCCATCGCCGACACCACCGGGGCCGCCGCAACCGCCATCGCAGGCGTTGCCGCAGTTGGTATGGCGGGCAATCCTTCTTTTCATTCAGCTCCTTCTCATTCCCCTCTTCTCGACCCTGCCGACGCTGGCGCCGCCGCCGTCCTCTTGTTTCGTTCCTTTTCAAGCCCGTGGAGGGTCACTGCGGAAAATACATGGTGGCTATTTAAGAAACCAACGGTTGGAGCAACGGGCTGCCGGCGGCCCGACGGTCCGCCACCCCCTAAGCCCGCGCTTCTCCTCATTCTTGCAAGCCAACCTTGGCGCGTTCGCCCGTTCGGTCTCCTAGCCCACTCAATTTACCGTCCTCTGGCTGGCTTCGTAAACACGACACGGAAACCCGTTGCTGATGATGATGAGGACGGCGGCGGCGGCGACTCTTTGGGACGGAAAGAAAAATGCATCGTATTCGAGAGCAGAGAAGGTTCTGCGCCGAAGCTCACAGCGCGGCGAGGGCTTCGGAGGCAGAGCGAGGTTGGAACCCCGCAGTCAGACTCCGATAGACTGCGAGAAAATTGACCGGACCCGCCAATCAAGTAGCAGCGTCTGCGAGCATGAGGCCATGGGGACGGCAGATTTCCTATTATGTGTTAGTTCCCCTCCCGTCAGCGAGGAATTTCTCACGATCCATTCTCGCTCTCAGACCTCTCATCGCGGAACGAGTCTACGAACGTTCACCGAGCGAGGACGCCAGTAAAGAGAAAGAAAAATCAAAGTCGCTGTCGACGGCTCTGGATTACGAGTCGCTGTTTCGTGAGTTGACTGAACACGAAATTTCCATCAGGAGCTCGATTGCTCGCTCCTCTTCTCCTCCCAGCTCGCTCCTCACCAGGCACGAATCATCGGCGTGCCCATACCTGCCCCCCGATTCTCGAATTGAGGGAGTTCTGGGAGAAACCCATGGCGCGGACCGCGTCCAGGAACCGTCTCTCCTGTCTCGACGTAATTTCCGCGAATTGGTTCCACAGCCGGACTGGATATTTTTTTTGCGTTCTAAAAGCCGAATCCCCCGACAAACGATCCCGCGAGTTTCTCAGTGGGCCACGCACGCCCGGGAACGCAGGCGGAATTCAGAGAACGCGACAGAAGAAGTTGTTCCTAATCTCATGAAGGGAGGGAGTCCGATTCCCGGTCGGGAGTCACGAAGCCGGGACTTCCAGAGATGAATGGAGAGACCCAGAGTCGAGTGCATGCCGAGCTGTCCACCTGGGATCCGGGAGATCAGCGGCTCCTGGAGGAGCGCCATTCATCTATTCGTCTCTTCCACCCTCCTCGACTGATCCGACACTTCGCCTGCTTAACGACGTCATTTCCAGCGGGAACCAGGAGTGCCGGATAGAAGGACATCTCAGTCGTTGATTTGACAAGATTGACATGTCATGCTGACGTCCGAGAGAGCGGCGGCCTCTATTGGAGTAGCATATCTTTTCGATGGCATGTTTAGCTGAAGGAAAGATCTGCCAGCTCTCCCGCGCGCCTGCCTTCCTGCTTGCTTCTCTCCTAGCTCGCTAGCTCAATAAGTGACGTTGATGCTCTAATGGCATAAATTGCCTCTGCGAAAAGATGGATAGAACGGAAGAAAACTTGCCCTGGAAGCTAATCCGATACAGCTCGGAGCACTGACTCCGCTCACATGATATGCCTGAATTGAATACGTTTCGGAATAATGGAGATGACGAGGATACGTATCGAGGGGGTCGGAGACGGCTGTGGGGAAGAGGCTGAGGGCAGAGGTGAGCTCCTCGAATGACCTCAGGCTCCGCTGGACAACGGCGGGGATCACAAGCCTTGCGAGTTTTCAACGGTTTCCGGGCGAGGGGAAAAAAACGTTGAAGATTGGAGATCCAGTTTGGACGCTGAAACCAACGTTCTCGAGGGAAAAATCGCATTCCAGCCGTCAACAGTGGGGCGCGGGAGAACCGCAGACCTTCTGACCTGACTCAGGCTCGGGTATCGACAGCGTCCCCCTTCGATCCCCATCAATATTTTCTGACCGCCTTAACTTCGTCTGTATCGCCACTGATATTCCGCTTCTGCAATCGTTGGCACAAAGTAAAGGCTTCAGACCGTGCGATATGTAATGCTACCGTTTCGAAGCGGCCGAAGTCCTGCAGTCAGCGCTTTCAGAACTCGCTGCTAACCGAACCGTCAGGATGACCGGCAGGGTTTCTCGCAAGCCATCTAGCTCGCAGGAAGCCAGATCGCCGGGTGGACGAAATCGCCGCTTAGGATCGCTAGTCCGCCGGCTATCCCGCCCACCCGCCAGCCTGCGTGCCGACCGACTGGGATAGCAGGCCGATCAGGGCGGCCAACGCCTCCGTGTCGAGGAGTCAAGCAAAGCGATGGTTCTCGATTACACTCGTTAAATTTGGTCACGTTCTCTTTCTGCCGCCTCCGTCGCGGTCCTCCTTTGTCGACTCGAGCGAGCAACGGGACCTTCCAGCCAGGCTTCACGGGTCAAGCGTGGCTCCGAGTGACCCACTCGCCGACAGAGAGGAGACTTGTCCTGTCTTCCGTACGATAGTTACTGTGGCTCAGAATTTTCCGGTGTTGTCGTTTTTGTGGTTCCGCATGCAGGAGCTGACTAACGGTCTCGTTTTAGAGGTTCCCCAGCGTATTGGGTCTCCGCTCGCTTCGAAAGATGACTCGGGGAATTCAGAACAGACGACCGAGCAAAGCTCCGAGGTTTGCACCCAGAGCCCCAGGGCTCGTTTCTGTAGGACGATTCTTCGTATCCTCGTGCCATTGCTTATATTCACCTGCAACAAATCATTTCGTTTAGTTCCAAGCCCTGGTCGAGGGACGTTGTCTAGTCATCATTTGGATCCTTCCTGAGTTTATACGGGTCTTTTTTCTCCCCGGGAGAAGTATATAAACCTTTCGAACTCTTTTTTTTCTGTCGCTCATCCCAGTGCCGGAGCGATTTTCCGCCCCTTCGTCCGACCAATCTATCCGAGGAGCTACGCGGAGTTTACTGCTCGAGCCGTTCGTCGTCGTCTGTGTTCATAAGCTGTTTGGAATGTCAACGCTTCGGAGAAATATCTCTGCCCTTCATTGCTCCGAGCCCTGGCGCTCCTCCTCGACCCCGACAACGACGACGAGACCGTCTGAGCGGAAAGGTCGCTGTGCTCTGAGCAAGGGGCTTCAGAAAGGCATTGCGCCCGAGCTCGCGCGGGAATTGCGCCGTATATCGCTCGCGTGTTTATTACGTCTTTAGCGGGACCCCGGCGAAATCAGCTGCAGCGGAGCACCTCGTGTGGGATCGGCCGAAGCGTTTCCGCGGTCTTCTCTCGAAGTGGATCTTCGAATTGATCATCTTCTTTCATTAGCACAATCATTTCGCTCTGAATCGATCGGGAGCGAAATATCGCTCGACGATTGGTCGTATCCGAGCCGAGGCCTCCACATCTACGGAATACCCTTGCTGCTGCGTCGACAACAATCCGATTTGAAAGAAACGCGATGTTTTCACTCGGAGCCTGTGGGATATACGAATCTAGGCTCTCGTCGCTGCCTACACCGGAAATTGAGAACCCAATGCAGCTGAGGAACGGATGAGCTTGTGACCTATTCAAAGATCCGCCAGCAATATCGGTCGTCATCTGAATCGTCGTCGGAAGGTTGAATCCTACCGATCGAGATTCGCGCAGCACGGCTGGATGGAATTCCCTCGTTCCGAAGTCTTATAGAGGGAATAGCTTCGTGGAGCATCGTTGTGCTATTGACAGGATCCGGGTATGGAGGAAAAATTTTCGAAGTCATTCGTAAAAACTTCCTCTTGTTTCGCTCGGGCGCAACTGTGAACGCCTATCAGGCGAGCGGGATCTCCCGCGCGCCGAGTGAAAACATGGACGACAGCCGAGAGACTTGTCGCGAGCTTCGCGGTGATATTGAACGAGCAAGCTCGAAAAGACTTAGAGCGTCAGCTCTGCGAGACGCTGTATTGACCGAATTTTTATCTCCATTCGTCCTTTCATGCAACCATTCATTTAATGGTAGCGGCAACGTAATGTTTTCCTTCGGCGTCGCGTTCGTCGCCGACGTTCCGGTTCCTCTCTATCGACAGACGCCTATCAGCGAGCCGGCGTACGCGCATATGTATGCTCATCGGCGCATGTCTTGCATGGCTTGGGTACGTGCGAGAAAAGATCGTTCGAGCATGGCACTTCGCCGCGGAAACGCTCCTCTCCACGCCTGACTTCGAGGTAAATATTGTCCGGACATGCATTATTAGACGTAACGAGGCTTTGTGGGATAGTTTCTTCGGTACCGCGAGAGGATTCGACGTAGTACAGGGTTCACGAACGGGTTCCGCAGAGCTGATCCCCCGCTTCCTCGAGAATCGACTCACACCTAACTCAGTGTGCAGCGGTCACTGTCAACGAGCGAGATTCGTGCGGGGAGAATTCCCGGGAAAAGAAGCAGAGAGTTTCAACACATTTTCTTCCTGGTCCCGCTTTTCCTTCTTTTCCATCGCGACCCCAAACTCCCCCATCGCTGTCCTCGTTCGATTCCTTCTAGCCCTCGCCACGCTATTGCTCAGGTATGGCTATTAGAAGCCATGTGACCTGGTATTCTTGACGGACAGCTTGAAACCGAACGAAACTTGCCACATATTGGAGCCGAGCTTCGTCTTTCGAGCGCGACAGGTTTACTGTGTAAATGGGGGCGAGGATTACCTATCAGATCCGCCATGCAGGACTTCGCGGCGAATTTTGAGGCGTCGGAACGTTGATCTTGGCCTTCATAGAATTTCTCTCCCGGATCATTGGTGCACTGAAACTTAGATAGACTTTCGGAATTCTCTTCCGTGACCCCGGAAGGTGAACCCTAGCTTCGTTCGCTGGTGGCCGGATATCGGATATGTGGATAGTGGAGGTCCGTCGACGGCGAAAACTCCACCGGCAAGGCTCGCGGTGTCTGTAACGCAATTAGCGAGCGAGGGAACGGGCGACCGAACTGGCGACCGAACGAACCAACGGCCGGCCGGACGGCAGAACGGGGGTATGTGTATCATACAAACCGAAAACAAGAGATCATCGGCATTCGATGCCGCGGAAGTTCGGCATACAAGACTCATAGGGAGGGACTGCGTCTGCTGCTCGTCAATCCTCCCAAACGAGATGCCCTGCCCCCGCTTCTCAGACCGAGCGTTCTCCTTGTCGACCACCCTCCCCCTCCTCCAACCCGGCTCCCGCCCAGCCGTGGCCCCTGCATCCTCGGAGATGGGTCCTGAACGAAACGTTTGCAAAGAACGTGAGACGAAACCAGAGTTCACTCTGGAGACCTGCACGCTATTAGCTGCTCCCTTTAGGCATCGCTGCACAAGCAGCGGCGGTCCGGTTCGCAGAGAGTGGGAAAAAACGACAAGGAGAAAAAACAGAGAGTGTGCGAGAGGAGGTTCGTTAGGGTATTGAATTTGGATAGGTAGACCTTCGATGCAGCAGTAGGCCGTTTCCCCCCCGCTGCTGCCGCTCCGGCTCGGTTGTCTTGAGTAACGCGGGACAAGAGCCGCCTTGGAGATTGGTGGATATTCCGGCCACGCTTTTTCCCTCCTGAGTTCCGATCGACATCCGCTCTATCTTCTCACCGGAACGATCACATACATCAATCAGGTGGGCAGAAAATTCCACTATGTAGTTCGCATATATCTCCTGCGTTCTGAGGAATGTAGGAAAATTCGAGCGCATTTCACTTGAAGGGAACCGCTCATGGAAGCAACGTTTCAGGGCTGCATATTATGCCCTCGCGAGTCTCCGGGAGCTTTCGTCATTTTCCCGATGGGGTCGCCCGATCCAATCGAAACGATCTCGGCCATGTCATTCCGCATCACGAAGACGATCGCTTACGGCTCACTATTTTTGTTGCTCGGTATCGCGTCAAAGCAGCCATGACAACAGCTCTATCCGTCGGCTCTGCGTGACCCCATAAGAGCGCTCAGCGGAGCAGTCCCTATGAACACCGCTCGGATTCCAATCGGTTTGCCAGGGGTCTCGTTCCGAATAGCTGGAGAATTCAGCAGAATTAGAATCTCTCGCCCTACAGGGCCAGTTTTGGATCCATGCCAACCCTTTCGAATTCGCCTATCGATCCGTAGTCGAATCCGTAGCGGTGGCGAGGCTTTTCGTGAAAATCTTCGCTAATCCTGTCAACCTCGATCTTTGCTTGCACGAAGCGGGCTATATTTCGAGAAATGCTCGCAATCCGTGAGGAGATCCTGCTCGGACAGCGGGCGGAGCATTCCGTGCTTGGCCGGCGTGGGTACTGGCGGTCGCTTTCCAGACAGATCCCACATCCTCGGATTCTAC